TGAGTCGGTGTCTCACTGTCGCCCAGGCTCCAGCACACTGCCCACGGCCACCGCAGCCTCGAGCTGCTGGGCTCAGAGGATCCCTCCGCCTCAGCCTTCCAAGTAGCTGGAACCACAGGGGCACGCCACCACGCCTGGCTCATTTTCTGATTTATTGCAGAGGCGAGGTCTCGCCAAGTTGCCCAGGCTGGTCTCGAACCTTTGGACTCAGGCAATCCTCTCGCCTTTGCCCACCAAAGTGCTGGGATGACAGGCACGAGCCACCGCCCGCTTGGCTAGGCATGGCTTTAAAACTAGGTATGTAGGACATGTCTGAAACAAAAAAGTGTACAATAATTTTGGGATCTTATTCCTGTATACATAAACCATTCAAGTGAGGGAGCGAGAGTAACTAGTTATTTTTACAGAAGTGGTAATAGTTTAAACATGCTCATTCAGATGGACACTTTTGCTGTTTATTAAATATAGGATGGCCCGCACCATGGAATCACTGGCAAAGAAGATCTTTAAAGGAATTTTAGTAGCTGAACTTGTGGGCGTTTTTGGAGCCTACTTTTTGTTTACCAAGATGAACACAAGCCAAGGTAATCATAATATAAGTAATGCTTTCTAGAGGGATATAGTTTGCCAATGCATTTTATGTGCTAGATGGTAGTGGCATTTATGGAGAAACTGCTTTTTCAGATTTCTTATGATTAGGCATTGTTATGGGCAGAAGGAGAACCAAGGTATTAATTACTAACTAGATGACGCTTCTCCCTTAAAAAAATGCTTGTAGACCAGGAAGACATTTTCACGCCTCCATGGGTTTTACTAGCGGGAACACAGTGGGAAGGAAACAGCCTACCTGCTGTACTTCACTGCTAGGCACACGGGAAAGTAGCAGCATTGCTGTGGTCTCCAAGTAGCTAGTTTTCTTGGGCTATAGTATTTTATTCCTTTGCATCAATAGTGGGCATTCAAAGACTTTGCCATGTTATTATTGAAAGTGCTTTAAGCTGGGCATGGTGGTTCATGCCTGTCATCCCAGCACTTTCGGAGGCGGAGGCAAGACAGTTGCCTGAGCCCAGGGATTCGAGACCAGCCTGGGCAACATGACGAGATCTCGTCTCTACAATAAATCAAAAAATTAGCCGGGCATGGTGGCACATGCCTGTAATTCCAGCTACTTGGAAGACTGAGGTGGAAGGATCTCCTGGGCCCCTCCAGCTCGAGGCTGTCGTGGCCCTGAGTGTGTCACTGCACTGCAGCCTGGGCGACAGAGTGAGACTCTGACTCAAAAAATAAGAAAGTGCTTTAACATTTTGTGGGAGAAAATTTTATACTAGAGCACTCAACTTTTAAAATTAGGAAACGCTTTTTTCCTAAAGCAGGGAATAGTCTTGGGTGGAGGCCATCTTTGGAATTTGTCACTTGCCTTCCTCAAAGTACTTCCTGGGAACACTACCAGAATGCTACTGAATATTCACCAAATCCCTAACCCTTTAAACTCAAAGTAAGGGAATAAAGAAAACATCCCAACAATATTAAAAACCAAATTAAAGTTTGGGATCAAATTCTAAAACTGGGTATGATCTAATTTCTAATTCCTTATCAACATAAAATAGCATCCATAAAACTAATTCATAAATTTACATAAGGGAATTAAACACTGACATTAAAAATCTGCTTTTTTTTTGAGTTGGAGTTTAACCCAGGCTGGAGTGCAGTGGCATGATCATGGCCACTGCAGTCTGGATCTGCTGAGCTCAGGTGATCCTTCCGCCTCAGCCTTCCAAGTAGCTGGAACCACAGGCATGTGCCACCAACCCCAGTTCGTTTTTTTGATTTACGTAGAGACGAGGTCTTACCATATTGCTCAGGCTAGTCTCGAACGCCTGAGCTCAGACAGTTCTCTCACCCCTGCCTCCCAAAGTGCTGGGATTACAGATGTGACCCACTGTGCCTGGCAAATCTGCTTTCATATACCATTTAAAAATGAATCACATATATACAAACCAAATTTTTAAAAGTCTCAAATAACTACACATAAACTACATGTTAAGGCAGGCACAACTTAGATTCTGTCCCAAAAGTTCAGTTCCTGGGTTACCAGAAGGGCTTTAAAACATGCTTCTCTGATCTGTGATTCCCATCATATGGACCCTGAAGTTAGCATTAAATTATGGCTCTGTGTTAATGAAATTTCTGATCGAGTCTAATTTTAAGACCTTTTTTTCATCAGATTTCAGGCAAACAATGAACAAGAAATTTCCCTTCATCTTGAAAGGTATGTTTTTCCTTAATTAAAAATAAGAATATAAAACAACTTTTTCAGGTAACCTGCAAATTAAGCAGTAATTTCCTTATAACAAATTAAGAACGAAGTAACTATTTTGTGTTTTGTCAATCCCAACAATACTATTCACATCTATTTTAGCTCCTCTGAGACAAGCGTGGAGAAAATTGTATCTAGCGTTACCCAGACAAGGGTAGAGTTAGCTAATGCGCTGGGTTCCTAATTCTTCCAGTGTTCAAGAACATAGACATTGGAGGGAGGGCTGAGGTGATGATAGAATCAAACCTCAGCTTAACCCCATGGTTTTGAAAGATCAGTTTTATCTCAGGTTTGCTAACCTCGGGGGCTGTTTTGTTTTTCTGTCAAGTAGAGATAATGGCCCAGGATTCAACAGGCTGCTACTGTGTACTCACTTGGCATGGTGTCTGGAGTGAAGGAACAAGTCGTGCTCACTACGATGATGAGTGGAGGTGTTTGAGCTTATATGTGAAATCTGTCATCTGACTGTCCTCTTTCAGTTTATTATGTTATCGATGTGGAAACAAGTTTAATTTTTGACATTTTTACATGACTTTACAAATGATGGCTATTTTTATTTATAGTTTATTACAAATCCATTGAACAGGCTGGAATGCATGGTATCAGAGAGCAAGATCAACAAAAATGGTTAAACAGCAAAAATTAGAAGTAAGTAGAATTTTAATTGGCAATTTACATTAGAAACTCATTTCCTTTGCTTTTTAGTTTTGTGAATGGTTTTCATCCTCTTCTTTTTGAAGTGTTTCTTTTTCTTGATGATACTTTTCACATCTCTGTTGTGTAGCCAGTCATCACGTTCAGCCTCCCATCTAAGCTGTTTGAAACCTTTGGGCAGAAAAGAAAGATGAGCCGACTGTCACACTGTAGACTCAGAGCTTCCTCCCAAGGGAAAGGAACTTCTGGGCTATAGTTTCCCACCCACTGTGAAAATCTACTGCTTGTTTGTTGCTTTTCTTGTATACTTATTGTCAAAGATTAACATTTTATAAATAAGTGACTAAGGAACAGGAAGAAACAAATGTTCTAAAGATTTTCTTTGTCCTGAACACTTTTACCAGTGAAAAAACAGAAATGAGTAACAATCAATCAGAAATAATTAAAATGTCTGTAAAGCATAAAAAATTATTTAGCATACTCATACTATATAAAAATAGCCCACCTCCCGAAAATAGTTTAAGTAACTTTTGTAGTCTGTAGGCTTTTTTTGGTGTGATTTAATACTTTTTAATCCTACATGCTCTCCCAAGGAAAAAAGCCACTCCTTCCAGGTTGTAAGGTACCATAAACAGATGCTCCAAAAATATTCACATCTTCTAAAGTTCTAAGTCAGAGCTATTTTAAGAACTTAAGTTTAGATTACTTACTTGCATTATCTTTGTTAGCCATGGCATTCATGCCAGTACTGTCAAACTTGGATCCCACGTTTTCATCCAATAGGTGGCCGAACTTTTAAAAAAAAGATGTATTTATTAGAAAATTGAAAATCACGTAGAATAGTTAACTTTTTAAAGCAGTCCACCAGCCTTACCTCTTCAGCAGATACAAATAGGCTGGAGTCCTGCAAGTTTCTCTTCTTTTTTTTCCTTGGTCCTAAAAAAATTGTAAGTCTAGGTTATTCAGTTATAAATCCAATGATTTTGGAAACATATAATTCTTTCAACATAATTTTAACTAAAATATTATATTGGTAAACACACAATTGCAGTTATCTTCTAGTACCATTAGGTAGTTGGCGTTTAAACAAAAATATGAGTCAGTCTATAGTGATTTTTGTTTTTAATTTTTTTTTTTAGTTGGGAGTCTCACTCTGTCGCCCAGGCTGAAGTCTAGTGGCATGCTCATAGCCACTGCAGCCTCCACCAGCTGGGCTCAGGCAAACCTTCTGCCTCAGCCGTCCAAGAAGCTGGAACCACTGGCGCATACCACCACTAATTTTTTGATTTATTGTACAGACAAGGTCTTGCCAAGTTGCTTAGGCTGGTGTTGAACCCCAGGGCTTAGGCAGTACTCTCACAGTGCTGGGATTACACATGTGGAGACACTGTGCCCAGTCCCAGTCTATAGTGTTTTTAAAAAAGCTAGTATACTAACAGAACTGTTCAGATGACAATGGTGTTTTCTTGCTTTTCAGATTTGGCCACTGATCAAAGTTTACCCTTAAGAGAAATATCATAATATCATGCAGGAGTATTACTCCAAAGTTAACATGGATGGATTTTGAAATATTCAAGGCAAAATGAGCTGGGCATGCATGGTGGCTCAGCCTGCAATTTCAGCACTTTGGGAGGCCGAGTTGGGAGGATCGCTTGAGCCCAGGAGAACATCCTAAGCAACATAGAAGACCTTATTTCGACCAAAAGATAAAAAAATTAGCTGGGCATGGTGCATGTGCCTGTAGTCCTAGCTACTTGGGAGGCTGAGGCAGAAAAACTGTCTGAGCCTAAGAGGTTCAGGCTGCAGTGAGCTGTGATCATGCCATTGCAGTCCAGTCTGTGTGATAGAGTGAGACCCCAACTCAAAAAAAATAAAGGGCAAAATGTAAGTTTTAATTCAGGAAATTTGTTCTTTGGATTGTGAATAAATTAACTGAAGGTATGTTTATTGTGTTATAGTTGAAGTTTTAAAAATATTACTGAAAATAAAGAGGTTCTCCTAAAACAAACTTACCCAGTTTGAATATATCAACTTCTCAAAACAAAAAAGTAAATATTTATTTTTAACATTTACATTCACACATTTAAGATCATATTTTCTAAACATATATTGCTTTTTTATTTTTCACTTCCTGAAACAGTATTATTCAAACTCTTTGCATCTTTGGTATCACTGTCTCTAGCTTTATTAGAGCCATATTTTGTAAACAGCTTTACTAAATAACTACACACCATAAAATTCAACTGTTTTAATTGTATTAATTCCGTATGTTTTAGTAAGTTTACAGAGTTGTTCAACCATGACTACAGTCCAATTTTCGAACATTTCCATCAATTTTCAAAAGATCCCCGATACCGATTTGCAGTCCCTCCTCAACCCTGTCAAAACATCTTGTTTCTATGATTTGCCTTTCCTGAATGGGATCACATGACATGTGGTTTCCTGTATCTAACTTCTTTCACTTAGCATAAGGCTTTTGAGGCTCATCCACACTGCAGCATGTGTCAATACTACTTCAATCCATCATGTGGATATATCACTTTTTGTTTATCCATTCATTTGGGTTGTGTCTACTTTTTGGCATTAATGAACAGTGCTGCTATGAACAATCATATAAGTCTTTTCATCAGAGCCATACTTTTTATTACGGCAGAATGAATATTATTTAACAACTGTGTAAAGATCTATGTGCATGTGTTTGGAAGGTTTCTTTTGGTTTTAATTCAGCTTGTAGGTATATATCTGTGACCTCAATACATAAGCACTTCTGTACTGCACCATCTTCTTAAAGCTTCCTTAGTTTGTTTATCCTTAAGGATACCCAACACCTGAAAACGCAGGTTCAATAATCTGTTTAGAATTCCTTTGCCTCTTTTTTTTTCCATCCTGTTTGGTATCCTTTAATCCGGATCTAAAACTCCTGAGATTTGATATCCTTTCAGGCTAATGTCTTCTGAAATAGTACTTTATTGTTCAAAACAAGGTAACCAAGAGAGTGTCTTTTAATAACAGGCTCAGTAGAACTTGAGCTAAAGATCATCCCTCTTTTCTGAAAAGAGGGATGATCTTGAGAAAAACCTTGCTGTATATTTCAGCATATGCTAATACTGATATGTGATCTTACATCATTCAAGAAACATAAAATCTGGAACATGTTATAATTTAAATATGTATCAGTTAAACTGTCTAGCTATTAGGGGACTATACTGATAGCAGTATTTGCAAACGCTGATAAAAATTTTACAGGCCTAAGTCTCTGAGACACTATTACCAACATGTAAATGGAGCTTTTTTAAAAAAATTATTTTTTATTACTTAACTTTGCAAACCTATTTTTATTCATCAGTATTTACCAGGAAGCAGAAGCCACAGAGGTATAAGAAGCAAAGCATGTAGTGCTTTCTCCATTTTAACCAAAATATTAAAACTGTTACCTGGTGTAGCACTTTATTAGCACCTTACACATGTTACACTGTGAAGCAAACTCTTAGACAATACACTTTAAAAAGAACAAATCAGCCTAAAGAAGAATTCCTATCTCTTTTACATTAAGATGTTTTTGCGATTAGAATGGTTTTGTCATGGCAGCAAAACAGCAGCTCTCATAAAAAGGGAAATGAAGTTAACAGAGGAGCATAGCACAGAGTTTTACAAGGGACAAATAGCAAAAAATAACAGTTGACAAGAGGAAAAGGCAAAAGGTATCTGGAAAATCCAGGGCTTACATATAACTGAATGGTTGAGAACACACAAAAAGATGTTCTGGGGATATTTAAAGGAGAGGAAGAGAAATAATTGAAGATGGTATGTGTAAATTTCCACATATTTAAAAAATATAACTTATTCATTATAAACACATCTTTCATGAGAATAAAATGCCTCGATTGTATTAACACATTTAGGACACTGCTTAGTTTTAAGAGTAAATTACTGGGTGTGGTAGTTTATGCCTATAATCCCAGCACTGTGGCAGGCTGAGGTGAGAGGATTACCTGAGCCCAAAGGTTCAAGACCAGCCTGAGCAACTTGGTGAGACCTCATCTTAGGTGTGGTGGCGTGTGCCTGTAGTTCCAGCTACTTAGAAGGCTGAGGTGGAAGGATCACCTGAGCCCAGTACAGCAAGGCTACGGTGGTCGTGAACATGCCACTGCACTCCAACTTGGTTGACAGAGTGAGACTTCGATTCAAAAGAGAGCAAATGCATTTTCCTACCTTGAAATGAGCCAGCAAAATCAAAGTCATCTGCACCTTTTCTCTTGCTTTTCTTAGAACTGCCTTTGGAGTGGACTTCAAGTTCTGTTACACACAAATAATTTATTAAGCAATCTAAAACAACAGTACTGGAAAATATCACCCCAAGATATGCTAATAACATCTTTATTCATTCCAACAGCAAGGTACTATTGCTGTTGCATGCAGGTGTCATAATTCCACTAGACAGGCTTTGAGGATGGAATGAAATCAAGACTCTAAGAATAATTGGCGTAGTTCTATATTTTGTGCAAGGATAAAATTTACTAGATAGCTTAATTAATAAGACCAAACATTACAAAACTCCTTAAACCATGCAGCTTCTGCTGAGTTCCAGAATAAGAAGGAAGATGCTGAGCAGGTGTATGGATATGGAGGCGTGTGAAAAGACAACTGCGGGCAGAAAAGGGCCGAGACACAGTTCTGGGCGCACTTTGCTAATTTTCAACATTAAGATAGAACATTCTCACTCCTCATCTATGCTATTGGACTGTGATGAATGTTTTTTAAAAGGCAACATTATAGCTCCACGGGTATTATAGAGAGAGGCTAACTGTTGGTTAAAGTAAAAGTCCAAAACTCAAAACTCAGCTGCTGGAAAAAAACAGAAAACCTTCATTCCCAAATGAGAAGGAAAAAAGTCCTTAAAGTTTCTGGTTGACATGAGTATTTTTTAAATACAGGCCTATCTTAAAAACTTTTATTTTATGTTTTATTTTTTAATTTTAATCAATTTTTAAAAAATGATATTGTGGGGTACAGTTAAGGATTAGGTATACAAATATGCTCTGTTCAGGCATCCTTGTTGATAAGAGGTGTCTCCCCGTCCCCAGACAGATATTTACTACCGTTAATCCCATCTCCCTTCCTCTCCCCCCGCCAGTTTCCCACCACTGTCAGTCACTTTCTTATAGTATTACGTTGGATGTTCAAGGTCCACTATATGAGAACATGTAATACTCAGATCTTTGTTTCTGTGAGAGATCACTCAGTATTATAGACTCTAGTTCCATCCAGGTTGCTGCAAAATTCATGATTTTGTTCTTTTTTATGGCTGGGTAATATTCCATCGTGTATATGTACCAGATTTTTAAAATCCAGTCCTCTTTTGATGGACAGCATGGTTGCTTCCAGGTTCTTGCTATTGTGAACTATACTGCGATAAACATACATGTGCAGGTATCTTTTTTATAGAGTGTTGAGTTCTTCAGGGTATATTCCCAGTAAGGGGATTGCGGGGTCATATGAGAGGTCAATATTTAGAGCTTTCAGGAATTAAAAACTTTTAGCATAAAAACTAACCCAGGCTGAGGAAGTAAGGAAGATAGAGTTTGTGTATTCTTTTCAAAAATGCCTACCTGGGATAGCCTCACTGTCGTCATCTAACACATCCATGAATGTTCCTCCATCTTCGTCAATGTCAGCAAATTCTTCATTGTTCATACTTCCTAAAGAAACTTCATCATCATCCAGGTTGTCAATTTCATCATCACTGTCTTCTGAATATTCATCCTCTGGGTTTTGCTTGGCTCCTTTTGCTTTCTTTTTCACGTTGCTGGAAAAAAAAAATACAACTTATAAGGTAAAAAAAGGCAGTTTTCTAAAATGTTTTGGTGACTGCCAGGGTCCTAGGCTGTTGAATGACTTAAAAGCAGAAAGCCTTATGGACAGCTCAGGGTAAATATACTAATAATGTGCATTAGAAAAGTCCAAATGGAAAGCAGTGTATCCACTTCCAAACTTATTTGAATGCATTTCCCTATACATAGTTCTGTGGTCTACAGTCCCGAAGGACAATTTGGGAAATGGTGGGAAAACAGTGAAGAGAAGATTGAAGAAAAGCATGTTACCCAGCAAAATCCATATCATTCTTTGCAGCGCTGAAACAGTTGTCATCTTCAAATGTGTCTGCCAGAGAAGAGAGAAACTGTGATGTAGCAAAATAATAAGGCTGACATGTCATATCAAATATAATAACACAATCATGATTCTGCTGTTTATGACAAACACCAAAATGATATAAATGTGACTATTGCTGATGTATCTTATCAGTGTACCCAAATCCATAATATAGATCTTAATGAAATTCCCAAACTAAAATAGGATAAACATCAAATACAGTGACATTTAGTAACTGCGGTTCTTTTTACTCTAATAGAACTTTTATTTTTAAGTGCTTATTTTTAGTAGGTATATAATATGTAACAAAAGTGAAATCAATGTAAGTCTTTCAAATTTACCACGTTTTCTGTTTCAGTCTAAGTTTCTATTAAAACTTCTCTAGTTCTGTGGATTATAAAGATTAAAAAAAGTGAAATAGCAGACTATTACTATCGACTGTATAAAGAGATTATGAAGAGTAAAAATGGACTCCATATTGTGAGACCTGGCCATAAGAATGAATACACACAAGTAAATAATTTTTTTTCACACAGATCATCCAAAGCACAAATCATGAAATTTTCTGGAGCAAATGCTGGTGCTCCATATGCCATCAAAATATTTCTTCATCCTCCACTGTGACTTATATGACATCTTAGCTAAATGATTTTTTAAAATGAAGGCCACTTCTACCACTAGCATTCCATATTCTACTAACAAACAGTAATAGATTATTTGACAAAGTGAACAGCCAACAAAACAAATTACCAATCAGCTTTTCAAACTCCTCATCATCCACATCTTCTATACTGTCTTCATCTGCATACTGTTTTTGTTTCTTTTTAACAACAGCAAATTTTTTATAATACCTAAAATAAAATGCACGTTACATGTATAACAAATTTTTAAAGGTCCCATCTTACTCTAATCAAAGCACCTATGGTCAGTGACAAACAATTGTAAAAATGTAAATATACTCAGTTGGATATAAATGATCAAAATTTGTATTTAGTACACTAAATAAAGTAGCTGGAAACTTTTGAAATGTAAAGTGTAGTTAATGTGTAGTAGATTTCAAAGATTTAAGTTTTTTTTTTTTTTTTTTTGAGTTGGAGTCTCACTCTGTTGCCCAGACTGGAGTGCAGTGGCTGCTCCCGGCCACCTCAGCCTTGACCTGCTGGGCTCCGGCAATCCTTCCGTCTCAGCCTTCCAAGTAGCTGGAACTACAGGTACACGCTACCACACCCGGCTAATTTTTTGATTTATTGTAGAGATGATGTCTCACCAAGTTGCCCAGGCGGGTCTCAAACCCGCGGGCTCAGGCAATTCACTCACCTCAGCCTCCCAAGGCATGGGATTACAGGCTGAGCCTGCCTAGATTTAAGTTTCTTACAAACTAGTTCTTTAAAAAATCCAAACTTATCTTAACAAAAATGGCATAGTAAAAGGTTGTTTCAGCTTCAACAACGATGTATCAGAATATTATAAAATGTGGCTCTATGTGATCCAAATCACAATATTTTGTTAGCCCTATTATATTAGGACATAGTAAAACTTAGCAATATGTAGATGGAATCACACCCTAAAAGTCATTCACACTAAATGTTTTTAAAAAAACAAACCAAATCACACCTAAGTAACCCAGTGACCAGATGAGACAACAGGTGTGTCACTACTCCAAGGCATACAGGAGGTGTGTCACTACTCCAAAGCACACAGGACTTGATTCTACTGTACAGCAATGAGTTTTACTGAATCTGCTTTAAGGGCAATAGCCTGGACAAATTACTCATGAGTCATCACCATATAAACTAGTGCAGATTTTAAGCCTATGCAAAAATTATAATTAAAAAGTCATATAATTAAAAAGTTCCACAAAGTCAGATTCATAAAGCAAAATTTATATGCTAAATTATAAAAAACAAAATGCCCAAATTTACTTTAGTTTCATTAAGACATCTTAACATTAGCAAATTGACTGTTTTATAAATTTCCTTCACAAAATGAATACAGATGTATTTAATCTTTTCCAAATATGCTGATATTAATGAAACATTTTATGGGATCTAAAAATTTACATGTTAGCAATTCCCCAAATGAAACAATATAAAGTCTAGTACCTGTGGAAAAACACCTCATCCACTGGTATCTGGCTTTCTTCTTTTGCAAGGAACTCCTTACTGTTCACTATAAAAATACATGTAAACCTTTTAACTTACTCCAGCAACCCTTTTTATGTCACTCAAGCTCTTGAGATGAAATACAGCACATCTACAATCCTAAAGCCTCAAGACTGTGAGCAAGGTAGACAGAAGGAACCCTGTGGTGTGTGGGACAGTGGCTGGCAGTCTGTGTGGAAAGGACTCAACATCTGAAACTCCATGGACTACAGCAAAAGTAGGCAAGGCATAGTCATCAGTGCAGGCGCAGAGACGATAGGGTTCTCTCACTGTCCTCCAATGTCATCCAGGATCCACATTTCAAGAGAAATAAAAATTCAAAGAATCCTCTTAATAATCACTTTAAACTTGTTATTCTCATCTTAGAAAAATGACAATAATTCTTGCCATTCTAGGAATAAGAAATAAAAGTAAATAGAATTTTCCATAGTTTTATGTCAAACTGAGAAAAACTAATAAGAGACTACAAAAATATTAGTTTTCCTCTCTTCAGGATAAAAACTTCTAACTCATCTTGATTAAGAGGTGATAAGGCTTTGAATTCTAACTCTATTAACTTTGGGTAAGTCCTTTTCCATCTCTGGGTCTTGGAAACAAAATGATCTTTAAGGTCTAACTTAACCCCAGTCTCTGACAAGAGATGGGATCTGGCATGCAAGGAAATGTCCACTTTTTTTTGAATTGAAAAACAGACCCAGACCCAGAAGATGGGCACTGGATACAGAAGTAGACAGTTACCAACTAAGTTTACAATGATGCACCATGACAGCCAGCTGTAGGTTTTTGTTCTGCTGAGTCCATACTTGGGAGCTTAAGATGGTGTGAACTGTTTTTGTTTTTTTTTTTTTTTGAGTTGGAGTCTCACTGTTTTGCCCAGGTTGGAGTGTGGTGGCACGTACGCTCATGGCCATCCCAGCATTGACCTTCTGGGCTCCAGTGATCCTTTCGCCTCAGACTTCCGAGTAGCCTGAACTATAGACACGCGATACCACGCCCGGTTGTTTTTATTTTTATTTTATTGTAGAGACGAGGTCTCACCAAGTTGCCTGGGCTGGCCTCGAACCGCGGGCTCAGGCAATCTACTCGCCTGGGCCTCCCAAAGTGCTGGGATTACAGTCTGAGCCACTGAGTCCAGCCTGTGTGAACTGTTAAGAATAATAATTATATACATGGGGTTTGCTAAAGATGCTATAGATGATACAAGAATGACAAAATGGTGATGACTGTTGAAGCCGGGTGATGGTTACAGGGGTGTTCCTCATACTATTTCATTTATTTGCTTTGGATATGTTTGAAATTTTCTGTAGTAAAACTAAAAAAAAAAAAAAAAAAAAAAGTCCAGTCAGACACAGGAGACTTAACACATACACATTCTTGGGAACAAAAGATGGATAATGTTTTTGGTGTTCAGGTTCTACTCTCATAAAATGAAACAAAGAGTAGCATAACTGATGTGTTATTGTCTTGTATTGTCTTTTCAGTTTCAATTGTCTAAGCTTCATACTTACCAGCCAGACTACGAATATCATTCATAAAATGTTTCCTTTTTGGCTGCATCACAACACTGTCTGTGTTTTCTGAAATGTAGAGTGAGGAAAAGGTAATGTAAAACCTAGTTGTATGTTCATACTGTTTAGTATCAACAATAAAAAATAATTCATTAAACAGGAGCATACCTTTGCCTTTATGGGGCTTTGGATTTCGGTATACAAATCGATCCAAGAATCTCATCAGAGTGAAATCCTGAAGTGGATCCCCTGAATATTGAATATAATCTCCCTGAAAAGTGGAGGGGAATTAAGAACTTAACTCAAATTGTATCTATGCATCCAGGAAAGAAAAGAGCTTCTACTATATTGCATGAAAGACACAGATATCCAGTAAGTTACCCTTCAGATCTCTCTCTCATGTGCATTATACTTAAAACAATTAAATGCACATATATGCTATGACATACTGCTGGTTTTATGGTTAGGTCAATAGTATTAATAATGTAGGCCATTGCTGGGCACGGAGGCTCATGCCTGTAATCCCAGCACTTTGGGTAGCCAAGGCAGGAGAACTGCTTGAGCCCAGGAGTTTGAGACCAGCCTAGGTAACATAGTGAGACTTTATCTCTACAAAAAAATAAAAATATGATCTGGGTGTGGGTGGCACATGCCCGTAGTACCAGGTACTTGGGAGGCTGAGGCAGAAAGACTGCCTGAGCCCAGAAAGTTGAGGCCGCGGTGAGTCACGGTTGTGCCACTGCATACAAGCCTGGGCAAAAGAGTGAGACCCCAAAACAAAACAAAGCAAAAGGTCATTCAACAATTAACCAGGGACCGAGCCCTGAAGTGACAAACACAGCAAATCAGCAAGGGGAAGGCATTCTTTCTCCAGCACAGGAGCCAGAATGTAGTCAATACCTGCTGTGGTTTCTAATGTCCTGCTATTTCATCTCAGAGTGGGGAAAATGATCTGCCACTCTGGATTAAACAAGTCACTGCTTGCTTACAAGAGCAGTAAATTGTACACGATTCTGTCAGAAAGGCGAAACATTGTATGACCAATTACTGATTATCTAAATATAACATTAGTCATTTTTTCTTACTTTTTGATTTCTGAGTCTTTTAAACTCACCTGAAGGATAGTCTTTGCAAAAAGGGCCACAGAAGGATGAAAATGCTCAGATAACTAAAAAGAAAAATGTGAATAATGTCAATATTTTTAAGGTCAACTCCTACTACAAGTGTAATTTACTTAAGAAAATCCAAAAATCGGAAAATCAAGACAATTTATTATAAAAGCAATTCTCAAACGTTCTAGTCTCAGGAATATCTCATATCCAGTCAAGAATCCCAAGAGCTTTCACTTAAGAGGGTTCCATCTACTGATGACTGTCTTATTAAAAATTAACCAAAAAATTTTAAATACTTATAGTTCATTGAAAATAACAATAAACTGATTACATATTAATATAAATAACATGTTCATGAAAAAGAACTCTTTTCCATAAAAAAAAATATAGCAAGAAGAGTAGCATGATTTAACAATTTTGTAAATCTCTTCACTGTCTGGTTTAATACAAGACTAGATTCTTTTATCTGCTTCTCTCCTCTGTGTTGTAGTAAATGAAGAAAATCTGACCACACAGAGATATGTAGTTGAACAACAGTCTTTCACATAACTGTGGATTTTCTTCTTGATAATACCAGAACTGAAGAATCAGTTGCAATATGGAATCTGAAACCATATTCAATTGGCTTTTGGCATTTGTTACTTAAAATTAACTGGTCTATTTTGAATGGACCTTTTATCCACACATGAACTTGTAACACGGTGCAATGGTCAATCAAAAAATACTGATGGACTGAGTTATGCAGTTCTTCTAAATGCTGGAACATTTGGTTATACATTAGCACAAAAGCAGCATTGTTAGTATCACTACTGATTGCATCAGAAAAGTTTTGACATATTGAATCATCAAGTTCAAGGTGGTGGTTTCACTTCCACAATGTTAATCTTTGCTCGAAAGCTTGAATTTTATCACTGACACTGTCAGTTGTTTTGCTTGAAGCAACAGCCTCAATTCATTCATCTTTGAGATAAATGTCTCCCAAATACTAAGCCCGAATAACCAGTTCGTTTGTGCATCTTTCATGAAAAAGCAGCCAGACAAGCTTGCAACAACTGCATCACCCTCTTCTCTGAGATACATGACAATATTCATACTTAGGTGTGCAGAAGTGTGCTATGCATACTTACTATCTATGTACACGAAACACTAAAATGACATGCACATTAAGGCCAAGATACTAAAATCAATCATGATGACTGCCTCATCATTTGTGATAGTTTTTTTTAACTGAATGTACACAGCGGTGATGAATACAATGGCTACTAGCGCAGCTTGGTGCCACTGTCTTTACTGGTGCTAAGGCACCAGAAGTCTGGCCCATCATTTCTTTTATACCATCGGTGCCACTGTCAACACCGTGTTATGATGAAAGTGGTTGTGATCTTGCCGACCCCTTAGGGCTCTGTGGCCACACTTTGAGGATAGCTGCATAGGAAGATACTTACTGGTTTTATATAAGAAAAAAGAAAGGTTATTAGAAATATGAATTCCACCTATATATTTAAAAAGTAACTATTTGCAAAAAATTCAATCACAAAATTTTTCAGAATATCTAAGGCACAAAACAAAATTTATTCATTTTACAGATTTATATGTAATAATCTACTTACAAAAAACAACACTAATTAAATCATGTACAACATCCTTATTTTACCTGCACATTTAAGATTTTCTACAAAATGAACACCTTACGCAGTATGCCTCCCTAAATGTGGAAATTTAACATGTATTAATTCCAATAGTTATCATTTACAAGAAAAACTAAAACTTCAAGATGTTAAATCCATGAGGGCAAAATTATATAACACAAGTGAGTTAGAAGACAATTACCTTTTTGAGTTCCCACAGACTTGTATTTTCAGCTCCACAGAACAAAGGGTTTCTACTGAATGGATCATATGTATTAAACTGTTTGCCACCTAAACAACAACAAAAAACCAGTATTTCTCAATGCTTTATTCCTAGCCCAAGGGGCCATTAAAATCACCACCATTAATGTTCTCACTGATAGATGTCTTCAGCCAAGCAGCCTACATGACAAGCTCTGAGCTCCTTTAAGAACGGATCTTGGTACTTGAGCTAACACTTGCTCTTGAACAAACCAGACAGTGGGTTGATCCCAACTACTGAAACCTCCCTTCAGAATCCTCCCTTTTCCAAACAGCAACAAAAGGCACCAATTTCCAGGTGAAACAAGTCATAATGTTAAGATGAAAATAACTGGCAGATGAAATAGGTCTGAGGTCCTGTGGAGCTTTAGACTACTCTAAATCTTTGTCATTAAAGTATGCCCAGAAATAATTCTCATGTGGAACAGATTTTATATTATCTTTGCATTTTTAGAAACAGGATTAAAATAATTTTTTTGGATTAAAATAATTTAAACAATTTGCAGAATAAACTATGAGCTGACTACCTTACAACGCACATACTCGCCATCCTTCTAAAGGATTATTCTGTTTAGTCTTCAGGGTAAACAACGGCTTCTTCTAAACACTTTCCTGGCGGCTGCCAGACTTCTCTTTTGCACATCACAGACAACTGCAATCTGGAGATGAATTAATTTATCATGAGTTCCACAACAGGTCAGGAGAAATGGGTCTGGCGCCACATTTCTTGACCCTCAAGGCTAGTGTTCTTTCCTTTGCAGCCTCAAATGGAGAGGCTGCATTTCTAAGATTTCCTTGGGTTTTAATCTGTTAATAGACTTAATTTAATTCGGTTTGTATGCGTGTATGGAAAACCACTTTAAGTTTCTATCTTATAGAAGTCTATGCTAAAACATCACTTTAAGAAACTGCAGAGGGTAAGTATGGTGACCAAACAAAAGAACCATAAGGGTCCCATGGTTCACATTTCACAGCCAAATATTTGTTTATAAATCAAAGTGCATACACTACACCTGGCTGTCTTCATGGGATCCATGTTGGAGGCCTTGACATGTAGAGAGAAAGGCCAAGAAGCTAAAATTGGTTCAAAGGTATAAAACTGCATTTACAGTTGAAGGAAATGAGATTTACTGTGCGTATAACATGTCCACAGGTTTCCATTTCTCTAAGAGGTATCTGCTTTCATTTCTAAGACTTAAATTATTTAAAAATATGTATTAATCATCTGCAGTTATGTTAACAAGGAACATGAATACAGGAATGTTAACAAGGAAATCAGGGATTCCCTATATTAATAGTTTACTTTTAAGGTCTTGAATATAGCTGATCAGGAGAGCTCTCATTTTTAAGAAAGCAACATTAAGAATTTCTGAAGTCATATAATATTAGCTTCTATGAAGATCACAGAGTAAACAAACTCACTGATTTAAAAATTCAAGAGATTAATTTGAAGATTCAAAAAACACACCTTTCAAATTATCGAAGTGTACCCAGGAAGCAATTTCTGGCTTTTTGGCCTCTTTACCACTTTCAGACACAGTTTTCTCTGTCTCAGCTGCTTCCACTGTGTCTGCTTTTTTGTCTGCATCAGTGAATTTTTCTGAGTCTTCATCATCTCTTGCATCAATAAAATTTTCTTCTCCATCAGACTCCTAACAAAAAAATGGTTTAACAGTTCTACATTAATGAACTGAAAGTTGCAATAAAGTCTGTATTCAATTATGTGATGCGGAGTTTTGAAGATTTACTTATTGCAATTCTGGTGAAACGTGAACATTCTAATGAAGTAAAATGATGGCCATTGACGATAGTTAGAACAAGAGAGGAGACCATATTCTTACCTCTAAAGTTAAGAGTCAAGCCTTCAGCCAAGAACCTCTGAGACTTTGGGGACTTTATTTGAAAATAATCATCTCAGCCGGGCTCGGTGGCTCAGCTTGTAATCCCAGCACTTTGGGAGGCTGAGGTGAGTGGACTGCCTGAGCCCGCGGGTTCGAGACCCACTTGGGCAACTTGGCAAGATCTCATCTCTACAATAAATAAAAAATTAGCTGGGTGTGGTAGCACGCGCCTGTAATTCCAGCTACCTGGAAGGCTGAGGCGGAAGGATCGCCAGAGCCCAGCAGGTTGAGGCTGCGGTGGCCGGGAGCGTGCCACTGCACTCCAGTCTGGGTGAGACTCCAACTCAAAAAAAGAAAAGAAAAGAAAAGAATCATCTCTCAAATAAACTTCTATTTGTAAATAACCCTAGGGAGCAGGGTCTACTAGTATTTCTATTTCACAACTGAGGAAACAGACCTGCAAGATCTACTAGCTCTATAACCTTCCATAACTATCTCATCCACTGACAACATCTAGGATAGCACCGTCTATTACAGTGGAGAACCAAGTAACACGCCCAACTAACTGCACAGGTGAGATCTAGGTCTGCCCCACTCCACTCTTAATCTACTCCAGAGAACTAAGTTATTGTCATTGAAAGCAAAGAGAAACAAAACAGCCAACTCAAATTTTAAAAGCAGTTGTAAAATATACCGGGTGATCATCTAGTTGACTTCTTAAACCTGGCTTTGCTTTCAGGATTTCAGATACAAGGTACAAAGCTCCACATATGAATGGTGGCATCTGTTGACAAGTAACTTGAAGTAACCTCTTCACAAAAGCCATCACCCGGCGCAACATGATGTCGGCCTTCAGAGATTTGTAAACAAGGTTGAGAAACATCGCTTGCTTGGAACACATCATCAGCCCTGGATCCAGCATCTTCCTGTAAAACAAAACCAAGACCAAACATTTATTCATAAAACATCTCCACAAACAACAGTCACATGTTAGCAACAATTACTAACCTCATCTTGGGCTAACTTTCCTGCTTATTTTAGAAGAGATAATCCCTGTCCTAAAAGGTTAAATGAAAGTAAGTGAACAGAACTGAAAGATGGCACAGGAGTGAGGGGGAAATCACTCCGGATTTCCTTTTTATGGTTTCTCTTCTCTGTTCCAAGTGCTCTTCTGCTTTCTACATCAAGAAGATATAGCCACAACAGTATAATTTTTATTCAGACACAGAACCTCACCAGAAAGGCTAATCAAAAACCAAATACTGAAAACTGACCCACAGAAGCAGCACACTAAAAGACCTGGACTTCTGTCCTTGTATCACACACCACCTACCAGCTAGGAGAGCAGAGGCAGCCCACATAGGGTTCACCGAAGACCGTGTATGAACAGCAGAAAATTAAAGTGAAGGGACTTCAGAGAACCTCTAGTCCAAGTACTAGCTGGGTAACATCCCTCTCACCCACTGTTCTCTCTGCCCAGAGTGCACCTCTCCACTTCTACATGTCCACAGTATGGCCCATAGCTTCCTCAACTGGTCTCTCTCAGGCCCATGTTGATAGTCTTCATGGTTTCACATACTTTCTTTGCCTCTCCCCTTTCTCCCAAGGTCCAATGGAACAGGGACTGTGCCTGACACTTAATACTTTTACAAGACAGTTTTCAAATACTTGAACCTATTTAGCTACTGTGTCGTTCTCTTCCTAAAGCCTCTCATTTGTAGGCTGTTCAACCATGATCTTATAAAGTTGTTTTCTTTTGTTTTGAGTAAAGGTCTCACTCTGTCCCCCAAGCTAGAGAGTAGCGGCACAATCACGGTACACAGCAGCCTCGAGTTCCTGGGTTCAGGTGATCCTCCTGCTTTAGCCTCCTGAGTAGCTGGAAACTACAGTCATACCACCACACCAGCTAATTTTTTGTAGACATGGGGTCTCACTAAGTTGCCCGGGCTGATCTCAAACTCCTGGGTTCAAGCAATCCTCCTGCCTTGGCCTCCCTAAGTGCTGGGATCACAGGTGTGAGCCACCATGCCCTGCAGAGATGGAGTTTTGTATGCCATCCAGGCTGCAGTGCAGTGGTGCCATCATAGCTCACTGAAGCCTCAAATTCCAGGGCTCAAGCAATCCTTCTGCCTCAGCCTCTTGAGTAGCAAGGACCACAGGTGTGAGACGCTATACCCGGCTCTCAGCTCTAATCGTATATGCTAATTTAAAAACTCTTGTCTAAGCCGGGCTCAGTGGCTCAGCCTGTAATCCTGCGCCTTTGGGAGGCTGAGG